TCATATATAGAATGTATCAATGTTGGGATGTAACTTTTCTATCTATAACGTTTGCGATGAACACTTGATTTTAAACATTTTGAAACATTTATTATGTCCAATCGTTCATACTCTGACAAGAAGAAACAGCTATAAAGTTATGAGCCTTTAAACAGTATTTACATTTTTTTAAGACTATATATTTTTGTAAAATGACATAAACGTGCGGTACATGCAGCCGCACCTGTTCTTTTCCAGTTTTTTTTTAAGTCTATAAGAAGTACTGGTGTTATTGGATTTATTGCATTCGATCTCTGCAACAGGCATGTAACAACAAGGTGATTTCTTCGAACACTCGCGATGTGTAGGAATGTAAGAATCGACGATATCCCAACTTCTGTTTGAAGCTTCGATGGTAATCTGCTCATTCATACGGGCTGCGCTTCAGCCCTCCCGTACGACGGACACGCACGCAATTAGTTTTGTAGAGCTTGATAGATTTTTCACTAAGCTTTGGTTGCTTTAGAATGAATATTACTGCATCGTGAAAGCGGGTAAATGAAGAACATCCTATGGAAACGTATCAGCACTAGCTCATTCTACGAATATGAGCACTTGCGTTCAAAATGCTACCGAATCTGATATATATCACTGTACCCGCTTGTGGATCTTATCAACTAGCGTGCTGTTGTCTAACTCTATCCGGTTTCAAAGGACTAAAAAAATATTCATTGATTAGCTTTTTTTGCAGTCGTATAAATAGTATATGTTTATGTTAATTACGTACATCCACTAACAACTAGTAGACTCACTAATTATTGTTACATTACTATTTGTTGTTGCTGACGGCCTTATCTGCGGAGTGTGGACAAAAACGAAAGAACAGAAGCTTAGGCAGTATCGCGCTCTCCAAACTGCGCAAGAGATGTGTTTCAGGAAACGAAGCCTACGTGCTTGCGGCCTGAACGAAGGCTGACAGAAGCAGCTCCGCTGAACCTACTGGCTCTCTCCAATCTTAGACGATAAGCGTAAATTGTACAGGCAAGGTTGGATGCCAATAATACCGTGGCCAGCTTAAAAAATGCTTAATTAAACGATGACTTTGCGCTGTTTATACAAAGCGAATCGTTAGATGTGTTCCCACGCAGAAAAGAAAGTGAATATTGGATAACGAGGTAACCACCAACCTCTTTTAGCGTGATTACTCTCCTATTAGTACAGTTACAGTGTGCATTTCTGCCGTTTCCGTTGATTACGCCACATGATAGATATGTCTCTCCTTATTACTTGCAAAGTACCTGTCTATAATACGATGGGTCATATCAAAAGATAATGCATATATGTAGTCTCGAAGATGAATTTGTCCAATAATGCAGATGGTGCGAAGGTATAGCGATTTTTCTCCAAGAAAAAAAGTCTGTACCGTTTGTGTAAACGTCAGTCGGAAGAAAATGCTGGTACATCCACAATTCTAACAATATTTTCACTTTAGCTAAAACCGTACTTTTTACGTAATCTTTTCAAAATGAGCTTGCTCTAAAGAGGGCAGACTCATTTCGCTACATCTCGTTCGTATAGACGAAAACGTTGGAAAAAAGCATAGTAACATGGGATGTGTTGAATATTATATCCTTTTCTGGTAGACAAAAAGCGAACGCAAAGACGCTGTAAGGTCAAGGAGTAGAGTTCCGGCAATTAGAGCTTCTGCCGAAGGCAATAATTTTTGCTACGGTTTTAAAGAGTAAAATATTAGCTTGTTCGAAAGATGATCCTTCACCTACACGCGCATCATAGAATAGGACGTTTAGAGGCAAAGATATTATTCTAAGAGCCAACACTCGGTGATTAAGTTTGTTTCTTAAAAATAAAACTGCGTGGCGGAATGCATTGCGGATGGGTGAAGACATTAGTTATGGAGGTACCTCACGTAGAAACACAAAGTATACTCTAGAGACCATTTGCACAGTTGTCACTAGCAGAGAACCCAAAAACATGGATTGGTATATTCAACTTAGCAGAGAAGGATCAAAGCAGAGAACGGCGTCGAACAATAGAGACAGCATCTTTGGTGGCACTGCTCTGTTCTATAACTTGATTATCACACCCGCGGTGTATATCAAGGATATTTGTCATTATTAGTTATTGCCCAGGAAGCACAGGCCGATGCTAGCTTGAGTCCTGGAAGGTTTTCGTGGATGTGTGACACGGACTGACAACACAACAAGTATGGTTACTCTATGTCAATCCGCGACCTCATTGGCATGTTTTAATCACGGCCCGGATCGAAGAAAATAGAAACGAGCAATGCCTTCAGCCTTTATATATGTTAGATTTGAAGACACGCAATGTCGACTGTTGTCATGCCCTATAGAGGGAGATAAATGCTGAATCAATGTTCCTCACATAAAAGGTAATTTTAACGATATTACGCATGGTAGACAAATACACGACTGTTGAGAAACTCCCAAAGCGTTAGCTTTTATCTGTGAGCAATCACCGAACTTACTTTAGTTTATTCTGTATGGTTGAAATGTATTCTGGCCGCTAAATAGTTCAGGATAAGATTTGTTCAAACGAAATATCGTGGTCATTTTGATCGAGATGAAAAGCTATTAGCGCTTCCACAAAGCTTGTGAGTGAAGTTTCTGGAAAATATCTGTAAGCGGTTTAGGTTCAATTAACAGAATCTCAAAGGAAACATCAGTTACATTGAATATACGCGTCCTAGGGAAATGCTACCGATACATGCTAGCTCAAATCATCTTTTCATTTACATGCAGGTAGTCAACTAGCCGCATAAAATTCTTCCACTTCGGACGAAATTCGTCGTATAATATAAAAAATTGTTTTTTTTAGAAATAGAGTGTGTCTGAGTGCACCATATATCCTTCGACGCTTCGTTCTCTAAACAGCTTAGGATTCCCAACGCCGATGCATCCGCAATGCACAATCATGCTACGGACACGTTTCAAACATCTCATTACGATAGATAATAGCGTAAAAACAAAGTGCCTGACAAAGCGAAGATTGACTGTGACATCATTTGGTAGCCGAAAGTTTTTAGGAGTGTTATATATTATGTTGTTTCACGACGGCTAGGAAACATAGACATTTTCAGCCATGCGCTTTTGTGTCCATATGATTTATAGCAAAAAAGGCGTAGTGGCGCTTTCTAATCTCTCTACAGCAATGAGTTCGATTGGAAAGGCTTATTTGATTGAACATTTCGTCGCACGCTATGTATTTTCCTAGTTGGCACTTGGTCGCAGGTATTATGCAAGCTCGACAAAACCACTCTCTTGACCACCAGAGAGCTACGAAAAGGAAAACAAAGACCTGCTTAAATATTCTCGCCTTCTTGTCGCGCCAGAACGAGCGTCGACTATTGAAGCTGTTGTCGATCCTTGTGAATGGGTACAACAATCTTTTTCATCCCTTTGTTTCGACCTTTGCCGACTCGACTTTCATAGAAGTATCGTTCGTTCATTGCACTTTCGGTTCAACAGTGTTTTCGTTTGCGCTCTCGGTTCTCTTCAGTGAGCTTTCTATTCGTGTCATCTCCAGGATAAATCCCTAGGGAAATTACTGTTGCATGTGCTGGTACATCGCCTTTCTTTTTGGCTCGCTGACAGGATAAAGAGCAAGAAAGGAAACGTGTGAAACTTTAAACTAAAAGGTGGCGAATCGCACATTTATAGGCAGATTATAAATCAATTGTAGTAATGAATGCAGCAGTACATATGAGCAGAAGATATAACTGCGTTTTGCGCAATAGATGTTTAAATGTAACGTAAAAAGAGCTCAAAGTAAGTCCTATGAAATGATACTCCCTCGCAGACGATGTACGTCACCTATTATTCGATCAAAAAATTGGTCCCATTAAATCAAGTAAGAAAATCCAATGCACGGCATAAAACCAGTTGAAAGGCCAAGTGACAGTACATAGCTCGAAGGTTAGGGCGATGTCGACAAGAATGAAATATGTTGAACTCCAAACGAGAAATTTTTATACCAAGCGGAATGGAAGCACGGTCAATTATAGAGAAAAGAACCGATCGAAAATAGCTAGTGCATCATACTTCACCTTTCGGTTTCTGATAATTGTGTTAAATGATGATCGTTCCTTTAGAAATGTGTCATTTATGTTCCTACCATTATTATTATTGCCCCTCACGGTACGGTAGCTACTATAATTGTGAATGCATAAAACAATTTTTGAGAAATTTAAGGTATTAATAATACTACATAGACGTAGAATAATACAGCTGTAGATATCCTTACTGCTGAAAATTCATCTGACTCCAAAACCTGTGCCTCAAGTGGTGTTATCCAAATTGTCCTTTTTGCTTTGTTGTGCTGGTTACTAACTATGGAACTTGCTTAGGGCAAAATAATTGACACATCATATCAACGACCATTTGAAAACGTGTAACTGCATACGTGATAATGGATCATTGAAAATTGTGGATTCAAACGGTTTGTAAATTTGACAATACATATTCTATGGCAATACTTCGAGCCTAATGGACAGTATACCATTTAAAAATATTTAATATATGCGATCAAGTCTATACAAGTAAAGTTTCCTTTGGTAGTGATAAGGTCATTTTTACGTGTCCTAATTACCTGAATATAGGCAACTTACTTTCGTATATTTTTCATTTTTGGCGCCCCGCAACATTGTGCTTAGAACGCTGGCGTACGATACGGCCGAGCTATCGCTACGCCTTCTCCAAAGCCTATGTATTGGGCCATATCGGGCTCAAGACCAACTGGGCTTGCTCAATCAAAGTGTTCCATCATCCGCTGACCTAACTGATGCTTCCGTGGCTCCTGAGTACACGCAGCTCGCTAGATATATAGACTGATGCATATTTACAATATCTCTATTGTTGTAGCACATCTAGATATATATGCTACAATAGTTGAAATGTAGATACGTACAGTATATATCGATAAGAAGAATTATTTAGACGATACTAGCTGCACTCATCGTATTTATGCTATAACGATGTGTTTTCACTTACCAATACACGATTAGACATAAGCGCGCATTTTTGAAACACTGCTGGAACCTTGATTTATGCTAATGGACTTTAACATGCACCGGTGCCCCTACACGAAGTAGGTACAGAACAGTGATAAAGAATAACAGAATTATAAGTGTAGGCCACAAAATTCTTGAACTTTCTGGCTTTATTCCGAGAGTATAACAATTGTAGGTGCATGAATATAAAATGCAGTAAACTGTATAATTTATTTGGATAAACCGCGGAAGGTGGCACAAGCGTTGCGGCCATGAACTACCCCGGAAGAGCAAGCAAGCAGTCGCTACACCAAGTTCTATATCCAACTTCCTGGATAAAGTTTAGACCGGGGAAAATCTCACAAATCTAGGAAGTACCGCGCGCTTTATTGTTCCAAACAAAAGTAAGATGACATCAACTCTTGCCAGGGCCGTTGCTAGTGCCGTTGAAACGGTCAACCGTGCCGGGCGAATCCTTAAAGTGGTTCAGCGTTCAGGCTCACTAGGCATCATTGATAAGGCTATTGGTGATTTTCAAACAGAAGCTGACAGAAATGCTCAAGTGTGTATTGTTGAATCTCTCAGCATGAAATTTCCCAAAATGAAGATCATCGCAGAAGAGGGTCATCTGGAAGGTCTCCCGCTAAGAGAGGATTGGATTGTAGAAGCAATGAGTAAAGATGTTCTTAAGGAAACTATGCCGTCATCACTTGCTGACGTGCAAGAGGAAGATATCGTTTGCTGGGTTGATCCGTTGGACGGGACCAGGGACTACGCACAGGGCGCTATTGATCATGTCACTGTTTTAGTTGGGTTCGCCGTTCGAGGTCGCGCGGTAGCTGGAGTAATTCATCAGCCATTTTACGGTTATAACGCTGAAAAGGATTTCATACGATCGGGTCGTACCGCCTGGGGTATCGTAGGCGTCGGAGTTCGTGGACTGCGTCCAAGGATTCCCAATTCCGGGTTTATAGTGGCGACATCTCGTGTGCGTTCCCAGCCAGCAATCGACGCCTGTATTAAGTCTATGCGACCTACAAAAGTGATCAGGGTTGCCGGAGCTGGGTACAAGATGTTACTCGTTCTTGAAGGGGTAGCACACACATATTTGTTCCCATCGGCGGGGCTCAAAAAATGGGACATATGCGCGCCAGAAGCGCTGTTAGTAGCAGCGGGAGGTGCTGTAGCTGATATTCATGGCAACGCAATACAGTATCATGCACAAGCGGACTACCCTATCTGGTGCGGAGTTCTGGCTGCTAGAAGAAAAAATGACCTGCAGGGATATCTTAAAATGATTCCAAAGGACGTCAGAAAACGAATGTTAATAAACCAAGAAAATACGATGGACGAGCTGTAAGTAGTTTGAAATCTTTTATTTAGTTCGAAGATTTCTACTACTACAGTAACGTACACACGAGAAGTGATTTTTAGTAAGGATGAAATCACGCCTATTGTCAGAGAACGATCCGGACATTTCGTTGTGTTGCTGAAGAACTTGAGATACTCTGGTCTCATTTGCATCATCTTGCAGCTCATCGTGCTGTTTTCCCTGAATGATTTTTCTCCTAAACGGAGTTTTTACAATGGTCAATGTCTGACAGGTCGAAACCTCGACGACAGGGCAGGCCTACGTCGTATTTGGTAACAGTTGTGTAATTTGTATATATTTACAAGTGTAAAGAGAACTGGTTTTTTATTATAAAAAAGTGCAGGACCATTGTCAAACGCCGCTGTTAATATAATTACAACAAAAATTTTTGCATTGTTTTTACTCGACGCTGAGTATCTTCATTGCATAAATTTTGCAACTGCGACGACTAAATAAGAGCCACGAAATTGTTTTTAATTCAGCCTAATGCCTCCCAGACGCATTTTTTTGTTTTTTTTTGTTTTTCTTTTTTAGTTGATCGGATTCGGTGTCAGATTTGAAAACGGTAATAATTGAACGCACAGCTTCCTCGCTGCTTCGTCTTGTTACTCATTTACATACGGACGAATCTGTGTCCGAGGCTTCATCCTATCCAGCGGCGTGTACGCGTTCTTCATACCGTTTGTACACAAGAGGCGAGGCTCAATTTTTTTGAGCTGCATTCATTGACAGCCTGATATTGGGGATGGGAAATGCAAGCTCGCGAAATGTACAAGCTTAAAATTTTGGAAAATTGTGAGTTCAGGCGATCCCTAAACCACTCTAGTTAGGATAGAGAGACCTGAACATCACGTAGCGAGTGATATCGAATGGTTCAAATTCAAAGTCGAATTGATTTCATTAGCTGACTATCCAGTTAAAACCCATCACTACCCATTATGAAGCAGGAAAAAGTGCGCAAAACGTTGGTTTGATACACCGACTGAAGACGCGAGTATCGGTTCCTTTGACATAACATCCATACTACAAATACCAAAAAAAAACAATATTCGATTCCCAATAAAAATGGTTTTAAGGGTTAACGTTTACTTATATGGTTCTTTTTGTATACGCCCGACTCATATCAATAATACAAGATCTTGGAAATTCTATATATAAAGTAGGGCGTATCAGGCAAAAGCTGGTACCTACATTTCTTACAAGTGTCTGACTGTTCTTCTACTTCTCGAAGTAGAGTGGGATTCGAAGAACCGCGTCAATCAGATACGCTGTCCCCATTTAGTATCCAAACTACTAGAATCATCTTCCGGTTTGCAAATTTCTTTGTGGGATGTATTTGCAAACGAGATCTTAACGATCGTCTTCTTATTGTAGAGAAATTCTCATTTCAATTTGGAGACATCGTTGGCTTGATCTCACGTTTAGTATACATTCGAACCATCGTTGGATTGTGGCGTTTTAGTATAGGATGGCAAAGCAAACCTCCCTGTCAATTACCCAAGCCTCCCTTTTGTACTTTTCTTCTATCGGCACCGCAAACTAGACCTAAAGGACTCCTCGATGGAGTTCTTAGTGAGACAAGACGTACTCGGGTTACTAAAGGGGTTTCATGGGACCATCCATAACGATGTAATCGTTGCCACTCCCCAGCCGACGAGTTCCCTATCAGATCAGATCGAGTGCCAAGTCCCAACGTCAGATCCCCGTCACTGTTCCGTCAACGGCCAGGAATTTTGTCTGATCACTTAGACCCGTTATCTTACCCAAGATCTGCGCCCTCTTAGGCCATCGTGTTTTTCACCGATCCATCGGAGTCCGTTCTTTTAGTGATCACGACGAAGAATCAGACCTGTTCTGTGTCTGAGTTTGAGCTTTTGCGGGTATCGAAGTTCCTAATGCGACTGATACGCAAACCAGCGGTAACAGAAGAAAGCGTGATGGTGTGTCGCACTAATCACGCGTTCGCCACTCAAATTTAGAACGATCAATTAAAGTATATTTACGGAAAAGCCCGAGTCGGCTGCCCATCAAAAAATGTTTGGTTCAAACTAAACACGAATTATGTTGCGGGTTCTTGACCGCACTCATTTCGATAGATGGTGTTAAACACTTCTAGATTGTAACATCCACAGTGTTCAACGTCATAGAGAACAGAAGTTCATGAAGTCTGTGTTCTACATCCGGTATCGCCGTTAGGTGTTCCATCAGGCGGGTGGCTCTCAGCACAGAACGACGTGTGTTAATATTCGGGTTCGAACCTAAACCGGTCAATATAGGAGTTTTCGTGTCTGTTTCTTATTCTTCGTATAACGAACGATCGACTTAATTGCTTTTACCTGGCCCTTTTCTTGGTCTGCGGTTGTAATTGTCCTCTTAGCTGCCCCTCCCTCCAAAACCATTGGTGACCACCAGAGCAGAATGCCCAGGCAGCTTAAGCTCAATCGTCTTATTACCCACTCTGCTGGTTCAAAACTGCGAAGATAGGCGGACTAGTCAGAGGGTTAACGTCAGAAGAAACGGAAACAGTGAGTACGGTACTGATGATTATAATTAAATCACAGTCGCAAGAAGCATTTTATATACGTTCCAGTATATCTCCAAGTGGGGCAGTAACAACCCCACAATGACTTGCGAATTATCGGCGTAAATGGTCAGGTGGGGTTGGATTGGCTCAGCAACTTCTCTCCAGAACCTTGCAAAAGTACACCCACCCTAGTTACGCGACTACGTAGTATGTGGTAAAAGTAAGCTTCTTGTTTACATTGTAAAGTTGGGCTTATATTGTGTACGTGTTAAACAAAAATCTGACAAATTTAAATGTGTGGATCGATCAAGCCAAAAAGATAGCCATTTTGGAAATGCTTGGGCATTCGCCACACACACACACATATATATATATATATATATATGATAATTTGAGGTGTAATTAATTTCTTTGACGTAATTCACGCTTAGATTAATTAGATGCTTATAAACTATATAGGGCCAGATCGTTGTTATTTTATGAATAAGTGACTAGTAGCAAAGCACCTATGCAGTAGTGCATCTACTTGCACTTTCAATAATTATAACATATTTTCGATTCTTATTAAAATGAATGTTCACAAAGTGATGAGTTATATTTAATAGAAAAAAATATGCACAACTAGCAAATTATAGACGCTATATCAGCTTTACAATTTACACAGCAGGAAAAAAGCGACATTATTGACCAGTGCTGCATTATTTGGTCAGTCTTGCATGTATCCACAACAAGTTAACATCTGCCTAGAAGAACGGGTGTGTCATCCGATGGATACAAGACGACCACCGGAGAGACTCTTTTAGCAAGTGTGTGTTTGACTGTTTTCTAAAAAAAGGTGGAAAAGAAGTAACTATCTTTCCTGAAGAATATCGATAAGCTCGGCGCTTTCCTGCAGAAGACAAATAGCACTCTCCTGCAGGATTCATCCAATGAGCTTTGCTCTGCCAGTCCTTTGCATCGATCCACACGACCGCTAGTTTCTTTAGGTGGCCCCCAAAAAATATGGAGATTTTTTGTCAAGTCTTGCAATACATCTCAAGTGACACTTCTACTCGGTCGGAACCTTCACTGAGCACAAAGCTTGTATTTGGCTTGTTGTTGTACAGCCAAAGTAAGAAAGCGTCAAAACACATTTACTGTGAAATATTGTAAAGAGCCAAGCAATGAAAGACACATACGTTTAGAGTGAGCACAGTAGATAGACCGAAAAAATAACAGAAACATCGCACAGGAGTGAACACTTGTGTTGGAGTAAATGGGTTTGGATAGGTGGATAGGTTTTCCGGAGTAGTCGTCAGAAGAGTTGACAGAGAGTAGCATTTAAGAGCAGGCTTGAGGATCTTTTTGGATGGGTGTAGAAGGTTCTCTATTTGAATTGGTAGAGTTACGTTTAAAAACAGTTCCGATGGAAACTCCAATGTACACTCCTTCAAGAGATGAAAAGGCTAAAGTCAGGATAACATATCAATAAACACCTGCGTTAAAGGCTGGAACTGAGCAGAAAATTTTAGGGAAACAAATTCGGGGAAGTCGGGTGGGGTTCAAGTTTGATGGTAGGTTAAGTCAAAGAAAATAGAAAACTTGGAACAGTATTTTTTTCAAACCACGTCTTTGATTGTTCCTACTTCAGTTCCTCAGAGGTTTGTCTGTGTATATTTCTTTCATTTCGGCATCCAATTGCATCCTACGGCTAGTCTTTTTTAAGATAATTCATTATTTAGTTAATAGATAGCGTACCTTAATGACACAGTGTATAAACGCATCTAGCGCTGTAGTGTATAAACGCATCTCTCGCTGTATTTAAACCTACTTGTCAGGTTCAGATCTTAACCAAGAAGACTATTTCGATAGATCACTCAGAGAGGACCTCTAGTGCTCCCGTTGAGCTATCACATCAGATAAAGAACCCCCAAATTTTCGAAGGAATTTTACAGATATAAAACACATCAACGATGGGTTGTTTTATCTCACTACAACAAGTAAAGATTTATTAATTTTAGCCAATAAGTGCCATTTTGATAATAGAACTTATGGATAGTCCATGCCTATGCATAAAACTCAGGTAATTTGCATCTATTACATACTGTCGTTTTGTATAGTCTAACGCTGGGAAATGACACCCTAAGACGCAGGGTGCGTTAAAGCAGAAGCTAACCTGTCGCGTAAACAACGTCCCTTTTTTGTGAAATCGAAAGTCTACTTTTGCCGAGTAGGTCTCCAATGAAATTGACATCCAACGATGCAAAGTGATTTCCATTCACAAAATTTCAATTAGTTCTGCATCCCTTCCTGCTCGTAAAAACTCTCGTATGCGCCAATTCGTTTTTCAGACTCAATTCAGGGGGTACATACATGCATTCTAATACGACTGTCTTGAGTGAACTTGCTCGCACATTCTTCGGAAAAACAGGCCCAACGTTTTAACGTAATAAAATTAATAATAATATAATAATAAATAAAAATAATATAATAAAAGAGGCCATTAGCTATCATTTTCGCTCGAAGTTGGCTAATTTAACTAAGGCAAATGTTTCTAATTCCAGATCAAGTCTGCAGAATCGATCAATGTGCACCAGTTTTTATTACACACATATATACATATACATGTATATATATATATATACTTGATTATTTAGGGCAACTATATCTCATTAAATTGAGATGAAACATATTCCATAAAGTCGGCTCTAGACCTCGTGTATTAATTCGGCTTTGGGTACAGTTTTCATAAGCGTTTCTCTTTTCGGGTGTAAATTACCTTTTAATAGTCCACGCATGATTATATGGACCTAAATAGGAACCTCTGCTACAATTGAACGACTTGCATATGTTGGATTAAAATTACTCACATTTCACATGCGAAACCCGAAAGACAAAAAGTTAATACTTGTTTTCAGTAAGAAAGCGTACGAAGTATTTTACATTATTGGCCAGGTGCGCATATAGGTGTAGCTTGCATTGTTAACAAAGGGCTCTATAGTTTCAACATCACTACACTGTTTAAGATCGACCATTTGCATTGAACCAGGCCTGTTACAACGAGAACTGCAATTTGAAGTTAATTCATCCAAAAATAAAATGAACGCATCCATAATGCACCTCATACTTTGTACTTAGCTTGTGAGATGTAACCACACTAAATACTACCGCTGTTAAATGTTATTTGTCATACGAAAGTACCTAGAATTAAATCATGTTTGAAGCCGGCATCCTATTGCTAAGATACAGAAGGCCATCAAAACATGCCCTCCTTCTCTGAAAGACAAAGCGCAAGAAAATATACGGCTGAATTAAATGACAGATCAAACAATTGCATTGAAATATAAATTGGGTGCGCCATTTTAATTTTCACCTTTATTATACATTCGTTTGTACAGTCAGCAGATTCACAAAGTTCATTAAGTATCGGACGTGACTTGTTAATACATTTTTCAGTTTAAGATCAAATACGAAACCAGTTACTAAATGCCTGTTACCTTTGTTTAAAAAGTAGCTGTATTATTTATTTCCGACCGATAAGTATTTATTGGACCGCTCCAATTCGAG